AGAATGGCCTTTTATAATCTCCTGTGTTACACAAACAGTCTTCATTTCTTTCTCCATCACAGTAGTTTGGCAGCTACAATCAAAGAAAATGTGAATTGGTTTGCCCCCTTTCATCTGTGTTGTGAGACACAATTTGTTCCTATTTACCTGACATGTTGCCATGTATAGTTTTTATTCCCTGGACTTTTGTTTTCCTCAACACAATGAAGTCAGTTCTGGCTTTTGTTACCATATTGATGGCTACAAATCAGCTACATTATAAACTGAACAAAATCAGGGTTGCTTAATGCATAATATATATGAGGTGCACCGTAAGGACTAGTACTTTCAAAATAGATTGGCTAAATTTCATTATAACACCATGGATAAAATCTGATTTTTATTCCACAGCAGCTAAAGTAAATACAACACAGCCCATGATTCCTATTATTATAGGAAAATATATATGGATATGATTAGAACTTAATAATTACTGATACTGATATCTGAGATTACAGGGTGTGTTGAAACATTATTAAAGAATATGCATTGAAAGCACAAGGAATGAAAGCAAAAACAACATCTTAAAACTCTCTCTCGAACAACATCCATTGCCTTTGGATAATGCAAGATGCAATGCAACATAAGTTCAACTGAACTATTAGCATCACATTTCAAAACTCTTTCGCAATTTAGCACCCTTTTCAAAAACGAGGTGACACCATCATTCCATAGGTTCTATGACCAACAATAAACAAGCAAAACCATTTAGCTCCGCACTGTAAAAATGAAAACAAATCAATGTAATTTTTCAACTTTTTTTTGTTACAAGCACTTGGGAGAGGTTACAACATCAGCAAAATAAGACTCTAATACTAAAGAGTTAATGGTAACACTGAAACACTTGCAGAAAACACTGGTAGGGTTTTCTCAGAAGAGTGCAATGCAGTCACACATAAATAAGCCCTTAGAGAAACAGCCATAAAAGCTAAGGCTATAAACACTGCTTTTCACAAACATTTTAGTGAGATATATATTTCAATACCCATGAAAGACTTCAGGGTTTATGCATACGATAATATATATGTTTCTCAGGCCCACAAAATGGCCTACTATTATTTTCTCTACTTGTTTGCCTGCTTTACTTTTTCATGCAGACAGCCAGGCAAGCTCCAGTGGATCACTTTAAGAGCAGACAGGGTTACTGTACCCAGAAGCAACCAAAGCCATGTTCTTATCAGATGGAAGCCATGTGCTTCCCCCTTAAGCCAAATGTACGTACCTCCACACAGAAAGGTGTCTCTTGATCTGCAGAACCACAATACACTGTGGGAATGACTTAAGACCCAACAATAATTCTGATTTCAGAAAAAAAACTAAATACAGTAGCTCCAGGTGGTGATATTGTTCCTTGCAAATTCTAAAAGAACATTAGGAGAAATTGTTGCCAAAAACATACAGTATGTATTTCTTTTAGGTCTGTCTAGCTCCTTGGTTGTATTAACAAAAATTGTTACGTACTGTAGCACTGCCAGCAGCTGGACTGTCAGAGTATATAATTTAATATCGCCTTGATATTTCTCTTGCACTGATTAATTTTTCATAAATCCATTCAACAGATTCCTTTTATCTGGTGTTTTATCCATCCATACAAAGCACATTAATGTAAAAAACCCATATCAATTAAAATATAAAAATCAAGCCTGTCTACATTTTCTGGTAGGTTGGTGATTTCTCTTGCCAAAGTGGGACTAGGTCTGGAAATACAGGTGCAGTTTTTGACTTTGTTCATTTATTTGTTCAGCCTCCATGTTTGAATTATTTATACTTCATGTAATTCATGAAAAATTATTGCTGACAAAATTACAACAACAGGATGAAATTCTCATTCTTGAACTGTGAGGCTGGTTTAAAAGGCTGCAGAAACACCAAGAGTACTGTATACTGAGTGCCGCCAAATTGCAATGTTTCAGAATGACTGATTTTCCTTTTATGTCTTGACTTTTGCATGTTGATCAATAAGAAATTGATTCTGATTTGAAATTGCAAATTATTTTTCTTATGCCACAAAGATAGGCCTTTACCACCATGATCCTTGTAACCTCCCATGACTTTTCCTGTCTCTCCCTGCATGCACTCCTGTAATCTTACACTCAACGTCCGATCTCCTTACTTCCCTTATTCTTCACCCCCCTCTGTGGACCTCTCCATCTCATTTAATCCAGATTCCACCTCTACCTGTTCTGGAATGGCACATCCTTGCCACTCCATCTTGGATAACTCTGCCTGCACATAACCAGCTTCTGCTCCAGGCCCTGGTACTATCCTACCTAGACGATTACTCTAACTGCCTAGCCTTCCTTCCTGCCAGTGCTATGCACCTAGTGCAACAGAATTCAGAATTCTGTATCTCTCTTTCTTAGCTTTCATCATGCTGCTCCAGTCTCTAGTCTCTCCACTGGCTCCCTGTTGCTGCACGTATTTGATCGCTTCCAATTCAAAAACCTAGTTCTCATCTGCTGATATCTCAGCCACTCTCCTTCTGACTGTTTTCAATTGTTTATCTCTCCACTCACATTCCACCAGACTTTTTGTACACCCTCTCCACTTTCCTACTTCCAGAGCCTGTTAATCCATTTAAGACAGCACCTGTGATCCCTCAGCTCTCAACTACATCTTCAATGACTCTTATACACTCTATTGCACTATTTTTAATTATGAGAGCGATATTGTAGCTTGCTAATTGCTCTTATTCAATGCAAAAATGGAATACGTGCCAGTAGTATTTATATACCTACACCTCCTGCGTGTATACTATTTTAGTTCTTACTGTGTTTGTGGTACCATTATCATTATTTCATAAATGATTTTTTTCCATACCCTCATGATTCCACATTATGTAAATCTTCCACACTGTAAGGTAACCTGGAATAGGGCATCTGCTACAATATTACCTGCTACGATATTAATAGCATTAATAATCATCATCACATTCACACAGAGGGGAGGGGAACACTGCAATGTCTTCCCCTGTACTTGGAAATCTCATCTGCTATTGTTCACACCGTGAGTCCCACAGCATCTGCTGAAAACTTTGCATTGACAGGAGGAGTGAGGTGGTGCTCACTGACTGCACTGCAAGCTGAAGGAGGGAGCTGTTGGAAGGAGAGTGGACTCTGGCCAACTGTAGTTCACCCAATCCTGGCAGCTCTCAGTCAATTTTGTGCCACTGCTTGGGAAATCCCTGCCCTAGTTGTTTAGTGACATACCTCAGGTACAAGATACTGTACAATCACTTGGGCTCAGGTATAAGATATAAGGCAGTTGTACCAGTTGTGCAACTTGAAAAATAAACATGTTTGGATTTTCTGGAGCTAGGGAACACTTTCATTTTGCATCTAAAATCTTTTGGCTTAGTGTTCAAGGCTGTACTTGCAAGTCAGTTTGATTTAATTCAAAATGCGGTGAATGAATGCTTCTAGGTATAAGTGACCTTTTTGTTTCTATCACAGGGATTCCATTCTCCCTTTGCTTTGGATCTGAAATAAAAGTATAGAAATTATATCTCGCTTACAGAGTATGGTTTTAGCCACATCTTTCAAATAAAGTCCTCGGCTATCTAGGAGAATGATAGTTTTATTAAGAATTATCTGTGGATGCATTAAAAAAGGCATTGCATGATTGTACTGTACGTACTGTACTGTAGGTAAAATGATCAAAAGGAAATTCGGATATTCAGTTACTAAAAGCATTTGACTGAACATCAGAAACAATGAATACAGATTTTGTAGAGGTGAAAGGGTCAGTAGAAGAAGGAAGAAACATTCATTTTTGAAAAGCAGCAGATGGGCAAACAGATGAGGGAACCACAGGGGTATCAATTATCATCACAGAACTACAAATCGCAAGTCTTCATCTATTCCCAATGATACCTGCAGTTCTGTTTCTTCTTTACATGGTTGGTAACCAATGCTACAGTATTGTAACGATTGAGACAGATGCCACATGAAATGTCCGTTGGTCTTACTACAGGGCTCATAGACAAAGTTAAAAAAACAGAGCACCCTCAAGAAGAAAATGCCCTCAACAACTAACGCAGGGTCAGATTTCTCCATGATTCATCGCCTAATTGTATTTATCCCATATTATATGAAAGCAAAACAAATGCTTTCACAATACAAACCATTATTATCATTGTGTTGCAAGCAGCTTTGCCTTTCCTCCAGAACTATGTGGGTATAAAGTGAAAAGTACTACAAAATGCAAACCCAAATCCTTTCAACACTGACATAGACATGCTGCAACATTTCTCACCATTCTAAGGAGATTACAGGATCACTGAAGGTTAGTAAGGATTGCCATGAATGCTCATTAAGGTGTATCACATATCACAAGACCTAAGGTTTCACAGGAAACCAGATGCAGGTTTGCCTTATTGCCTGGCCAGCTTTACAAGTGCCAGGCAAACACTGTCTTAAGGACTGTCTAGGCTGACAGTCTCAAATTAAATGTCGATTAAGGCCAGTTGTGTTGCTTGTTTTGTGATAAGCATAGATGTCAACTAGAAATTGGGTTGAGACCCTCTGAAGTTATTTCATTAAGCTTCTTAAGCTAGGCCCCAGGGGCAAAAAATCCAGAAAGCTCTGGCCTTATAATGCTTTTCTGTCCTTCTTCTTTCTTTTCCATATTTATTTTCCATGCCTCGTGATTATCTCTGCCCCATTTTCATAGTTTTATTCCCAGTCAAAGGATCCACATCAACCATTATTTATTCACTCATATTTTCTTGAGAAAGTAACTTATTGTAAGAAATGTGAAATTAATTGTCAATACCTATTTTGTTTAAAGGAGATGACATATCAGCCTGATACAAAATGCTGACATACTTCATCAGTTCAGTAAATTGGAGTATCATAAAGCTGCAATGTAGCCTGTAGTCAGGAAACAACCTTATACGTAAAGAAATTCTGCAGAAGGTCGACGGTGCATACAGAGTATTGAATGTTTAAAGAGCTACTCACCAAGCTGTGTTAAACTCCACATGGGCATCAAAGAACCCAACAATGGGTGCTGTTGCTGCTTTCCATCCATGAATCCTAGCTCGGATTAGACCTTCTCTCTTACTATTGCGCACAATCTTCACCAGGCCTGGGTATCTTTTGTTGACATATTGGTCGAGGTTGAATTTTAATTCCACTACAGCAAAAAAAAATGTATTGAATCAGGAATATAGCAGATGTACTGTCTGTGATATGGAAGAACTGATATGGAAAACATACAGTAAGTCCAAACATCTAAACATATGCACATGCTTTCAGATTGTTCCTCTTTTTAAAAGCAGTCTGTTTTCATATCTGACCTTATGAGTGATGTAGTGACTCAAGTAATAACATAAGCTATTAATATGATAGTTCTTATGTCAGTTTTTACTGATCTTTAAATATCCATTTTTACAACAGTATTGCCATGAATGGTCATTAAGGTCCATTATCACAAGATCTACAGTATGAATAAGGTTTCACTACTGGAGACCAGATGCAGGTTTGCTTAATTGCCTGGCCAGCAAGTGCCAAGCAAATGCTCTGTCTTCAGGACTGTGTAGGCTGATATCACATGCCAGAGAAGCACCCAGAAAACGTATGAAGTTCTTTCACAATTATGAGTTCGCAAGAATGTGTCCTTTTTTAAGAACAAACTGTCAAAGAACTTAACTTGTACAGCTGTTTCTGGACTGGGACATATGGTTGTAAGAGATTGATCAATGTCAGAAATATTCCCTGGAGGTATCTAAATGATCTAGCTTTGTGGGAAAAATGCTTGTAGAACGTTCCTTCTAGCTGTAGGAAACATAAATCTGGCTTCTATTGTTAACATAAATCAGTAGAAGCCAGTAATACCACACATCATTTATGTCTCTGTCATATGCTATCCTATAATTCATGTCCAGAATGGGACTTTTCACTAACGAAACTTTACAGTCATTTGACAAAGCTGCTTGGTCTAAAGGCATAGTCTAAAAACAATTGGCATGAAGAATAGGTTTTTAAGTGTGACTTAAAAATAAAAGTTCAAAGTAAGAGTTTTTCTGATTACTCAGGAAATTATCGATGTAAGCCTTACAGAATATAATTAAATATGACTGACATGCTCAAGTGACAAGACATTTGATCATCCTAACCCAACATTTTTACAAAGAGAATTGCATAACCTTTATATAGGAACAAGTAATAGGTTTATTCCATGCTGAAAAGAGAAGAAAGAAAACACAACATTTCGGCTGTGGAGCCTTCTTCCTTGTTGAACCTTAATATATACAATTACAGTACAATTAGAATTACTGGATGAAAAACTAGAGGCAATTGAAAAATATCCCAGGTTTAAGTTCACACATAAATTTTAGTCCTTGAATCATTCAGATGAACAACAGTTAAAGACTCACATCCTGATAAATGTCCTGCTCATCAATATAGTCAAGAGCTTTATACACTAAGAAAAACAAATGCTCATTCATCAAACATACATCACTATGTAATATACATTTTAGACTACACATCAGAATCAGGGTATGAAATTTAGTGAAAGTTTTTTTTTCCAGTCCATCACATATATTTAACTTGAAGTCATATCTGTGACAAGTATGTGGGTATTCATTAATAATACCTGGTGCACTTGTTATCTGGCCTCTTCTGGATACAAGGTTTGAATTCATTAAATGTTCATTAGCACTGACAATACATTGCTGAAGAATATATCAAATATAATTATGTTATAGTATGGGTTTTTTAAGGAAATAACCTCACAAGACATAACGCATAACGCATAAACCAGCCATCTCAATTCCTGTCCTTAAAATTGGGAGACATAATATCAGTTTACAAAATTGCACCGATTCAGCCACTGGCAGGTATTAAGGAAATTATTTTTCTTCATGGGAGAGAGTGGTTGATTGTTTTTTAGTTATAAATTTCATTGCACTTGCTCATAGAATGTCAGGCACATACTGTATAAATGACAGTCAGATAAAGAACAGGACTCAAGCAGAAACAAACTTCACCGTGAAAGCAAAAGTAAGTTTAAATTTTAAATATCTTATTTCAAAATAGAATCAGGATTGAGTGTTTAACCTACCTTGGTTGATTGACAGATGTGAATTTTAATCCAATATCCACTCATCATATTCATTAAAAAGTAGTTTATTTCATATATAAAAAATTCATTTGGTATAATTAAACTATTTTCATCTTTGTTCAGACAGTATTTCATTACAGGGGATCATTAAACTTTTATTGAGATAACATCAATGAAACACTGTGTATTTGTGTTCTAGTTTTGCATAATAAATGCAGAAAATACCATTACCCGCATTGAAATGCAATATGAGCACTTTTCTCTTTTTATCAGTGTCAAGCTAAGCTTGTTTGGGCATCTTGTTTCAGAAACCCAGAATGAATAACCCCGGGTCTGAACTGCGGAAGGGAAAAAACTAACTATTACAGTAGCTAGATCAAAATCTGCCTGCTGTTCTTTCGTACTCCCTTTAGGAAAGGGGAAAAAAACAGAAAGAAAAGGCAAACTTGCTGACCCTGCATGTTAATAGCTCCGTATTAAAAGAACAGTATAAAGATCAGCACAAAGTAACCATCGCTGATCATTAAAGGTGAACAAAAGGAGAAGGTTACCATCCCGCCTGCCATGTTAGTGCTATAAAAGGCTCTCATTTAAAAGGTCTTTTGGGGAGTTCGATGTGCCAATGTTGACTCCAAGTTCCCTTTCAAGATGTTATTCATGCTCTGCATTCCCTTTCAGCTGATCCGGAGGGACCAGACAGAGTAAATACCAACTGATTGAACTCCAGCTATCTTTTGGAATGCAGTGTATTGTCACTGTTAAAATCTGGCAAGGCTTAAGGGAGCTCAGGACTCCATGTTGTTGCCTACAGTTCTCCCAGATGTGTAGACAAAAACAGGAACTTCAGGGGTTTTTTTATCCCTCAGAAAATAACAGACAAAGGTTCATGGGAGGATTAAGCTCATAATTTTTTCTTGCTTTAAAAAAAAAATTAAATAAACGCATGCTATTTTTAAACTCCTAAGCATGTCTAAGTATAATCCTCCAGGGCTCAAATTGTGTTAAATTACTGGAGACAGTTTGATTAAGGTGACAAAAAGAGTGAAATTACAGCGATGTGGTCAAGTTATAGTCTACGAAAATTCAATCTGCTAATTAGATCAAGGTTACAATAATAAAGCTGTCAATCCGCTTTCAAGGGAATAGAATGCTCTGGCACTATTCAAGAGGCAAATATGCAATAACCTTCCTTGCTGCTTTGGTTAATGCCTGTCCTTTTGATAAACTGCAAAAACAAAAGTTCACATAAGCTGTCTGATGGTTTATATAATGGGCCACACTAGAGTTGTAGACTTATAAAGTTTAAAGTATAATTTAATGTAGTGATCACTGTATGGAATGTGTTATGAATCATAATTGTTTGCATATTTTTAATGTGGCAGTAACAGTATAAAGGTGGATTGGTGGTATTTGGAATAAGCTACCCAGCTATGCTGTTGAACCCGATATCTTTTTTTTAAATAGCCGAGATTCTAGCCTCAATTAGATACTAGTAAGTCAAGGATCTAGATGTGTTGAAAAACCTCTTCATGTTTGTAACCTTAAGTAACAAGTTCTTAAATTCTTATATTAACAGACATATCAATTCTTTTCAATTGAGTTCTGTCATTCTGTCTGTCACATATGGAATTTCTTTTTAATAGAAACCTTTATTAAGATTGTTAAAAGGTAGGGTGCCTGAATGCTGCTTGCTGCTTGTTTATTCTCTGATCTTTTTCAAAAGCATTTTTAGTTTTTAAAATGAAATCATTTTTTTAATGAAGAGTATTAAGAATATTTATCTCTTAAAGGTTGCTAGGTTTTCTTTTTTTCCAAAACAATTTCTGGCTTTTAAAAGACATTAAAAAGACAAATTTAGATAGTAAAATAAGGGAAGTTTAGAGAACACATTTTGTTAAAACACTGTGATAAAAACATTCTCTCTTCAGAATACTTAGAACATAAATTCTAGTTCATAAGATTTTCTAGTCAGGTTATGAATTTCATTGTCCAAGCATAATTTATATTACATACAATAAAATAACCGGCTGCCATAATGTGGTTACTTGGCAACATCTATTGTTTAGAATACTATATATCCATGATGTTTTTATTCATAAGTGTACATTTAGATGTCAAAAATCTATTTCAGAATTGGGGAAATCTTATTTCTTAGCTCTTATCAGCTAAGAATCACTCCACTCCTTTACCTTAATCAGCACTAAATATTAAATTGCTACACATTAAGTCAGTAAAATTAAAAATTAAGTGAGACGTTTGCCAAGATTAAATTTCATAAGGCTTGGTATTATTGATGTCCCTACTTTGCCATTAATCTATCAAGGTCTTTCTGAGTGTCATGATAATATATTATACAGTATATAGCGCAGAGAAAAAATACTGATAGAATGCACATTTTAATTTGATTTGCCTTAACAATATATTCTGAAACACTGTTAAATAATTTACAAACTCAGCATGTACGTTCACACAGAAGGTAATACAGTATGAGCCTATAATATTAAGGGGCTGTGATATGACAAAGAAAATGTCACAGTTCATTGAGGGTATGTACATAATGCACTTATGATACCTCTTACCACTATCACTGTTGTCGTCAACAAGGATGATCTCTTTGAGCAGGTGTGCAGGTGTGTGATTGACCACGCTGTGTACAGATCGCAAGATCACCGATAAGGCTTCATTTACGAATATAAAGACCACAGAAATCTGAGGGAGGTCATCAGGGTAAGCCATTTGCTTGCACCTGTGAAGACACAAAGAGAACATAAACCCCTTTCTTTCAGAGATCACGAGACAGATATTTGAAATCTCATTTACTGTTTAATATAACACTGTTTATGCTTTCCAGAAAGCATCCAAAATCTCTATACACCTGGAGGGTGGTTCTTTCATTAGAGGTGTTAAAAAGCAAAGGAGGGTCCCAAACCATTCTGCACCCATATACTGAAGTGAGGAACAGTTTATTTCAGTGCATGCTTGATGTTACGCAAACCTAAAGCTCTCACTGTGAATCTGAAAACAATAAATTGCTCCTTCCTATAGTCCAGGGTAAAAGAGATGTGGAGAATTTTATAACAGCTGGACTAGAGGATATGTTAAAATGGAAATGCACTTTTGCAATGGGTATTGCTCTCATTGGAAAGCCATGGAAACAGGGTACAGAGAATACGTTAACAGGATCCCCTTTTAAATAAAAAAGCACTTTACAAAAACCCATTTAATAAAATGAGTCACATCCTTTCGGAATTGCAATTCCAGTATAATCCACAAACAAACAGAACCACCACAATAAGAAAGTGATCTCTCTCTCTAGAACCCACAGAATGTGTTGCAGGTCTGTAATAACTCTCCTCAGCTCATGGGTTTTCATAGCAACATGGTTTTGAGACTGGCCTTCCAGCACATCCATTTTCGACTGCCAAGCTTCCTTCAAACTGCACCAGCTGCCAAATTCCTATGGCAACCATGTGTACCTACTCACTCTGCACTCTCTTAACTTTTGCACAGATAAACAGTTCATGCAGTGAAATCCCTCCTTTCTTCAGACATTATTTTCCCAAAGAGAGTGCGCTTTTTAATTTTGCTGTCAAATGTCAAAAGACACGATCAAAACAGAACGAAATACTTTTTTTTCATGAGTCACCACAAACATACAGCCTAATTTAATTGATTGATTGATTTAAAGAGTGTGCTTTATCTTACCAGATATCTAAGGATTGTAAAAACAGTATAGGCAATGATGTAATTATTACTGAAGACATTATTTTTCAATTAGTTTGCACTATGGTTTTGCTGACTTGTATTGGTTTAACCTGAAGACACAGTTAAGCATTTGAAAATACACTATTGGAACTATGACGCAGTACCTATAGAAACTCAACACACCCTTTACAAAATAACACATTTTGTGGCCTAACAGCCTGAAATTAAATCATTTTATTTTACCTGACTTACACATATTGTAAAGCACAACAGTGTGCAAAACAAAAGTGGTGCTGGACCAGTTTTGAATGATTTATACAAGATAATCATTCAAATTGACTACAGTAAGACTCTCCAATGCTTCCATCTAAGTAGGGCAGCCTTACATTGGAGCCCCCTTTCGTTGGGGAATATTGAAAGAATTCACAATAATTTGGAGAGCTTTCTGTTGTACGTAAGTAAATTATTCCTCTTAGACCTTCTGTTCCGATGCTGCTCAGCTAAAGCTGAAGAAGAGAAATGAAGAAGAAAGCGAGTAATCTCATGGGAGGGTTACAGTATTCACAAATTGTCTCTAGAGATCCTACCTGCAATCTGGTGTAAAGAATCTGTTCATAGCCAGCAATACCAAGACAAAAGTTTACTATTTACTATTACCTTGTGCGGAAAAAAACCTATGCAGTGGTAACACCCTGTTAAATATATACTTCTCAAATCACAAGTTTAGGACAAGGCTGGAAAAAAGATTTTATGCAGCCAAAAGCTCTAAGATAAAATGTATTTTTTAATACTTTTCTGTATATTGATAAGAATTAAAGGAACTTATTTTTTCTCCAGTTGGTAGTGCAATAAACAACAATCATAAAAGTAGACATTAAACTGTAGTCTTTAATTTGATTTTTTCCTGGATTGGAGTCAGGTCAAATATTTTGAATGAATAGAATTTGGGTCACTGTGTGTTCTTTTTTGCATGTACTGTAATCTATATTCTGTAAAGAATCCATTCTACAGATGACTTTGCCATTTCTTCCCCCTGAGTGGTATGCAACCACAAAGTGTTTACTTATATTTATTCTCAGATGCTGTGACTGACTATTTGTAGGTTTGGATTTGGTGATGGTGTTTATATCATGTGCTAGTCTGGCAACCACACTCTGAAGGACAGCCAGGGCTTCAAGCAAATTTCTAACGAAGAAATGACCTCTTACAATTTTATAAGCACTGCTTGGAATTGGGGGGAGAGAAATTTAAATAAAGCAAGCTTCCTGTTTATCCAAATTTTCAAATATTTATCTACTTGAAAAGACTGGCTAAATCTGAATTTTGCTTAACTTTCATTTGATGCAATCATTCACAACATGAGTGCTTCATAAACATAAATATAGGATTCATTTTTATGATTACAGAAATGGCTTAGAAGGTTTTCAGTGATAAAACATTAATATATCATCATGGATGCAAGTCAGGACTATCTGTTTTATTCATATTTCACTCCATGGTTCAACGATGTTTAGTTGAAGTGATTGCTTATAAGAGTAATTTGCAACCTGTAAAAGAGCTTATTAAGCTGTGACCTTGCGTTTGTGATCTCAAAACAAACAAAAGAACTTCATATAATGAGCTATACTTATATTACTCTTTAAAATTATTTACCAAGGATTTTGCACTTGCATAAGAAGATCTTGCATGAAATTAAAAACATCTATCAAAAGTCTGACTTATGCAACTGTCTCTAAAACAGTAGATGCACACTGTATGAGACTGAGGATTATACTGTATATTGAAATGCACTGCTAAACAAAATACAGTACTTTATAGTCAAAATGATGTGAATATATTTTTTTCATTTGAATAAAACTAGAAATACTACAACAGAATTAATTCTCACATATTTTCAATCTATAACAAGTCATCTGTAGTCACATAACACAATGTTTTAATGATTTTTTATTTTCTATCAGAAACCGGCATACTTCCTTATTTTCCTAAAGCAGTTACAGTATACTGTATGACCTCTGAAGAAATGTTAAACAATTACTGAGACACAGCCATTGCTAATACCACAATACTCAGTGCATCATGATCACAAATCTTGACATGACAACAAATCGTCCTGACAGAATTAAAGTGCACCAGATGGGACCCAGTATCTTGTTGTGTCTTTCAAGATTGCAGAATCTGAAGCTTGCTGAAATTGCTTAATCAGGGTTTAACATTCAATCCCTGTGCTCAGAACTTTGTTTTCAGAGATGCACACACATTATCCTACATAAGTTCAGAGCACATTGCATTTACCCACAAGTAATAAAGATGCAATAACCCGTGAATTCCAGTTTTGTTGTAGAATTTTCACTACATTGAACACAACGTAAGATCACAATTAATCTAGGCAGGAGGTACTTGATGGTATTTTTAAAGGACAGAAAACATTGCAAACTAACAGTGGCAACAGGACAGAGGAGCATAAATCAACAGAATGTTTGCTTTGTTTTTACGAAGTGCAAGTGGAGGGAATGTCTTGAAATAAAAATTGCAATATTGCAATTCACAGGGTCCTCAGAGCATTTAATCACAAAGTACTGATGCAAAAAATATGCACATACTGCTCTCGGCCACCACATGGTGAAATACTACAATGTACAAATAGAAGAAAGCAATGAACCAATGAAAAGTAAAGACAACAATTGGTCTTTCTGGAAAAGTCATTTAATTTTTACTTTTTCCTTATTCTTTACATGCTCTGCCTGGGTTGGCAATTGACATGCTTTGCACAGGGCAGTTTGTGTCATCTTATAATAGTATAGTAGCATCTTCCAGCCTGAGTTAATGACAAGCTCACATAGTTGCCTGTTGAAACAAGTTCAACAAAGATCAAAATGTCCTACTTTACAAAGTCAATAGTTTGGGGACAGTATTCCAAACCTTAACAAAGGCTTTCACCTTTGGAGAAAGAAGCAGTTTTAACTATTGTGAGTTTTGTTGTGGTTCAGAATTAATACTGTACATGGAGTGCTTGTACTGAACAAAAAAAAACATTTAGATAATAAGGAGTAGGTATAGCTGCTGAAATAATGAAAAATAAAGACAAACTCAAATTATGTTTGCACTTTCATCTGTTTTGCTTAATAGTAATTTATTAAAGTTCAGTAATTCAAAAATATAAAAAACGATGGAGAGAATGATAAAATAAATCATATACTGCGGTATATTTAGAGCATGCATTTTCTCAAAAATCCAATATTTAATGCTTTTTATGGACATTTTGGGTCAATTGGGTGCACAATGGCAGTAAGTTTTTTTGTTAAATATACTGTAGGGCATGTTTTGTTGGTTGAGGCCAGCAAACTGCAGCTGAGTTATTAAAGACTGATCTTACAGTGTATTACTTTTGGTTCCGAAATGGATAAATATTCTATAAATATAAGGAATTTAACTGAATGACATAAATACATTTTAGAGATACATTAAGATGATTTGGTGGCTCTTTCATTAATTATAAATACATATATACTGTACATATCTGAAATCTGCGATAGCTGAAATCCTGTCAATATTAGCACACTACAGTATTGGCTTAATGTTTAGCCAATGAGCAAAATCATTTGGTCAAATGACTCAGGTTTGCCGAAAGTTTATTCGGTTTCTACTAGTTATGTGGGTTAGGATGGTAATCTTTAGCAACCCCTCTTGAAATTGTTCAATTTGTAAAAGCTTAAGTAATTAGCAAATTTCATTCAGCCTTTTAACAAAATTATTGTGCTTTACTTCAAATTTAATCAAAGAACAAGATAGTGTAGGGCACTGAAAATGAGCGAACTTATCAGTATTTTCAGTTTGGTTTTGTTCTCCTTCTGTCTTACTTGGATAACTGCAAATGTGATCCTCCTGTATATCCAAGACTGAAATAAAATGGTCACACTACAGATCGAGCACACATGTGCTCAGTTAGTTTCTATTTTCAAAGTGGAGTGAGTGCATTAAGCCTTTTTTTGATTAACCTTAGTTGACATTGAGCAGAAACACATCTAAAAAGGCATCAAGAAAGCTTTCTTCTCAGTGCTGTAGGGCTGGTATTTTGGGGTGGGGGTTAAGGAAGGCTCTGGTAAAGTATACAATTTAAGAAGCAAAACTAACCATTTCACTGGAGGTTTATTTCCCAACCTCACTCATTCCAATACATAAATGTAATTTCTCTGGAAGTGCTTCTTTGGATTGCAGGGCAGTCATAAACATTTAATAACATGATTAAAGCTGCCTAATTAATGATGGCTCTCCAAAACCATTTTTAAAGGGTTGCATACACAACCCTTTAAAATGTGGGAACAGCTTTAACCCATGTTCATATGATATAAAATTAAGAGGTATTGCTCTTCAAACCATTTTGCTTACTATAGAATTAGATTATATGTGGCTAACTAACCATCTGCAATCAGGATTTTATGGATGTTTATGAAACAAAAATGCTATCAGGAAATCTGGACCATAAGCACAAGTCTCAAAACAAGAACGCTTCCATGTCTGTGGTTGGATTTTATTTTCATTTTTTCCGTTAAAAAACACATTAATGAGGGGAAGAGCCTAGTACAAACAACAGGACTGAAGCATAACTTTATAACTGAATAACAAATATACAGAACAGACAGACATTGTTTCAGTGTTTCAATGACATACTGTGGGGTTTTGAACCTTCGTGTCAAATCTTGATCTGAAAATCTGCGTGGCAGCCGGATACTTCAAAAAGCAATACCACCGGAATTATTTTTCCTAGCTTTTCTTTTTTTTTAAAGTGATGTTCCTTAGCAGGGGCATTCTGTTTATCGCACGCCACTAAAAAAAGATTTAAGGAGTTGCATAAGTGAAATGTAAATGCCAATGCAATTTCAGTACCTCCTGAAAGAGTTTGATTTGTTGTAAGTGTTTTGTGCTTTTATTTTTTGCCTCTATTAGTGTGCACACAGTGTGTTATAGCAGTGTTTAGATCAATAACTCTTCCAGTGCAATCTTTCCCATCTCTGGTGACCAGTAATATCATTTTTGCATTGAAATACTGCTTCATGAACAGGGCATTCTTCCTGTACAAGTATCATTGATTTTGAGGCCACATGTTCTACGAAATACAATGTAATCCCTGAACTGGCTATAGGGAAAACAAGTATCATACAAATACTAGTAGCATACTCAAATATAAGTTAACAAACCCATTCATCTAATATTGTGTAGTAATGTATCTCTCAAAAATACATGTCAGATCTTCAGGAAGGTTTCAAATATACAGTACTGGATTATTATCAAGCCAAAGTAAATAACAGAAAGAATGTGTGTAGCAATTCACATTTTATAGTTTTGATGCAGTTAAAGCTATTCTTAAATGCTTTTATGAAACCTTACACTGTTTGTATAGGTCCAGCTGTAATTTACTGCTTTGCTGTACTTCAATGACCCAGTTATTTGAAGATGAATCAGATCACCACTCAGCCATAAATTCACACCTGTCTCTGAGAAAGCAAAGGTTTGTATGTTGAAACAGCAATTGTTGTCTCACTGGGATTGTAATGGGACTAAATTAGCTAACAAGTAATCCCAATTTCACCTAGAATAAACTGTCGGAAACAAACGATGAGATTAAGATTTGTTTCAACCAGTCTTTTGGGAGATGATTCTCTAGGCAGAGAAAGAGAGATTCACCTTTCCCTTAAGAAGATTTATTCACCATAACATTTAAGATAAACTTTAGTATGGGCATTAAATGAAGAGGGGCACTAGAAATATAATTTTCATGAATACAGTTCAGTTTGAAGTCATCTTTCATGGATCCTCAATGTAATCTCTATTCAGCTAGCAGAAGAACCATTGAAAATTGAACAGTTGAGGACTAGAAATATTTATCTAAAAGTTCTGAGCTTGTGCATGCTGTAATGCTACTCTCTTTCACATGGCATCTTTGTACTTCATGCATTCCACATAACAGTTTCCACTAAAGAGTTCTGCTCATTCAGAGATTTTATTTCTCTTTCATCTCCAGGTATCCAGCTACTGTATCTACAACACTGCTCTTTCACATCTACGAAGAGAACATCACATTACAGAATGCAAAATATCCTGAAGGAAATTAGATAATGAAATATGAGCTGTATTTGGTCCCGGCAGAATTTAGTTTGTTGCAACAGCAAGCCATACTGTACCTTTAGCTGATAGTAGCAGTAATTAAAATTAATAGTTAGTTAGGAAGGCCCCAAGCATCTGTGCAAAACAGAAATCAATATCATATCTGATGGACAAAATTTGTAGACCATCTATTAAACACCCTAGTCATCAAAGATCTGTGTTCAATAACTCCTTTGCAATTAAGTCCTAATTAGGCAGCAGCACACAGAGTTGGGTAACATGCTCCCTTGTTCTACTGCCTGAAATTGATGAAAATCTGCTTAGTGCTGAGGTCTACACTGCATGGTTTATGCCACTGCTCTCTGTTGCTAAATGCATAAATCTAAATTAAACAAAATAGGCAGGAGACCACACAGGGTCAGAATCAAAGTGAAAGATTAATGTCTAATGAAAGTATAATACATGTAGCACCAGTCATAGACTGAATGACCTTTGTTTTCTTCCTAATTACTGTAATGAGTAGAAGCTTTATTTGCACATTTTGCATGGCTGTATTTCAGGCAGTTTGAGATGAGAATCACACAGCTAAAATGATTATTTCATGTGCACAAGGGAATGCAGTCCACATTATCTATATTGTTTTCATGTGCCTTATTATGGTTTTTGATTTTTTTTATATGCATCTGTTCATAGGAATCAATTGATTTTTGTGTATTTATTTGTAAATAGATATTTTTTGCATTCAAGTCTTGTATTACCCATTTGTATACATTCTGCAAGAGTTAGCAAGGAGACGGTGTTGACCTGGAATGCATTTTACTATTAGAAGCTAATGAACAGATTTAGAAGAAATGTCACACACTGTAAAGGTCCTGAGACGGCAATGAAACTAAATCAAGCCACTTATTAAACTAGAGTCTATGCTTTCATTCAGCTGCAGATGTTACCAAGCTCCTCTCACAGGAACCACTTTCCCCTACCAGGAGCAGCTGCATTCTGCATGGTTATTAGTTGTGTTTGTTCTTTAGTGTCAGCAGTAAAATTCTGGAGGAGCAAAGTTGAGGAAGGGAACAAAGGTTTATGTAGATAAACCAAATCTAGGGTTTTACTAAAGAACCAGAACCTCTCATCTCTAGCTGTCAGACCCCCCGACAAACACACACAAGCCACAAGGTCTAATAAATGCAATTGCTTTCTTATTAAATGTTTGAATTGTGGTGTGACTGAAATGTGTACCACACCTTTATAGTCCTGCTTTGCTCTTGCTTTGTTAAGGTCAAGATTACAGGTCTTGATGAGTTTCCACTGGTTCAACATACAGTAGTTCAACATGACATATAGTATCAGCTTGGGGTACTTATATCACTATATTCCCTTACATTGCCATTTTGTTATGCTTATGCATGAAAAAATCATATCTAGACTAATCATGAGGGTGTAAATCCGCCTATTGTTATCGCCAGCAGAGTTTTCGACCTACTTTTTTGGTCTGTAGTCCGGAATAGTCCTATCCAGTGATATTCTATCACTGAGCTGGGCATTGTAGCCATACTCCTCATACTTGCTTTCTGACTCATGGCTGTCATCCCTTAGGGTGGCAGCTGCTCCACCCTGGCCTAGTCCCCCCGGTCCTTCAACAAGACCCATCGGCTTGGCAAGACCTACGAGAGAGAGAGATAGAAGTGTTAAGAGCAGAAGAAGAATGTACCATAAAAAGGTTGCAAATGGAGGAGGTCCTTAGGCCTGTGTAGCTCCTAGAAACTAGAAACTATTCCTTCTAAGGATGTCATCGGGCCATGTCTTGAAGGATTTCAGTGCAGCAGACTTCCAGCTTATTGAAACAACTATATTCCTTTTTTATATCAGCTCATAAATGACCATGGCCAACAGAGACAAATAGCATCTCTATAATCGCTATATACTCATACAACCATACTGTACATTCTGTTCACATATAATCAGTTGTTTTTATCTCTGCTGTAAAAGTAATGGTATTTTGTTTTTTCCTCCTTTAGTAATTAGAATTTGATTGAAGCATATTGAAACGCTCACTCGGAGACTCAGAGAATGTTCTTGCCAAAATGACAGAAGTTTGAGACTATTATTATTCTCGACAGTGGCTGAACTCAGCCCGAATAAAATTATATAGAAAAAGCTAGCAATGGTTTACTTATTGCATGAGATGAATATACTATTATGTACACTGTTTGAATTAAATTTTAATTCATTAAGCTAATAAATGCAACCATGCCTGTGAGCCTACAGTCATTACAAGGGATGTTTAATTCCATTTAATATCCAAGGCTTCTTGTTCAAGTCTCCAAAAGAAAAATATTTAGAACCCTTTAGTCATTCACATTATTAATGTGTATAATCTATAGTCCCGCCTGATCTGTATATCACAGTCAGATTTTTTCAATATACTGTACAAGCATATTGAATACTAAATACCAATACAGGAGATGCTACAAATCATCCACATTGCCTTTGTGTTAACCTACAAAGGCAACAGAAAATTTGCTTTTAAATTAATTGCATTTATATAGTGCTCTCCATCCCAAAGTGCTTTAAATATAGGAAGGGACCAGCTTCATACACCACATGGGTTGCAACCAGCATGTTCACAGAGGGCAGTTGTAAAACAACAGAGCAGAGACATATACTGTATGATCAAGGATACATAGGTTAACACCCTTACTCTTACAGAGGGTGCCAAGGGACCTTTAATGTTGAAGGAGTCAGGACATTAATTAAACTCTTAACAGAGGAGCACAAGTAGGGCCCGCTGTCTCCATAGTTGGGTGTTATTTGGAAATTTTGGTCCAGAAGGAAGAACAACAACTACAGACTCACATTCAGCAGCATTGTTGTTTTCAACAAAGGTCTTGCCTACAGGAACTGGTCTGGCCTGTTGATTAGCTTCTGATATCTTACAAAATCAAGCTGGATGGTAGTTGTCCTGCTGTCAACATATTTTAGCTGGTGGCAGAGGGGGAAAAAAGAGATTCAGTGTTCTGCCAGCTACATTTCATCCATACTCTTTTTGTTGTTCAGGCAGTATCTCAAAAGGACTTTTTCCCAGTACTGGGCCAGATGGACAAAAGACAAATGATGAATTTGAATCAGTCACAGAAATCCAGACATAAGCCAGCCATGCTGACACTCCAGCATTTGGAGCTGCTTAAAACCCAGAGCTTCTTTATAGAGGTTGACTCTGTTAGCTTTATGACAGCAATCTGTCACCTCCCAAATGAGAGCTTAGAGTAGGACTCCCACTCTTTCTCTGGTAGGTCATATTTTAGCATCTACTGTATAAGAACTGTTCCATTTCTGCTTTCCTCACTGCCTCATCATCATCCTCAGTTTTCAATTCAATTGTCTTCCATGCTTTCGAATTCTTTCAATGTCCTTGTTACATTGCTTTTCTCTCTTTCTAGATAGCTCATAAAATGCCATTACAGTGCTTAAAACAGTGATTCAAATTCAGTCCCAGGAGTCTGCTGTCAACTGAAGAATGGAGCAGAATATTAATATCGGCATTACAAATTTGATTTATCTTTATTACCAGCAACGGCCTATTGCCTCTACTTCTCTTTACAGCAATATTAATTAAAAAATTGATTTTACAAGTATGGAAGGCCTTTGATGTTTAACATGTGTTGATGTCCCGAAATTCTTCATTTCCTCTGTCAGGAAGATTGTTTACTCCACATGAGCAATTTCTAAGAAAAAAATAAATGTGTTATACAATTCACTCGGTTCAGAGCCTGACTGTTGGTTTAAAGAACGAATCACAGTGCTGTCCCTTTAAGTATAATCTTTTGTTGTGTTACTTGTGTTCCAGAAAAAAAAAACACTCAGAATGAAAACTTCTGAGAAATAACAGATGTGCTTTGAACGTTAGAGAGCTGAGCATTGCAGCATTCTGCCACAATAACTCTACATATTCCCAGAGTTTCCACAACTGTACTCATGTTAGCTTTACTATGCCATGGCTTTCAAAGGTTTATATCATGTTTTATTGCATTATTGATTCACTGCAGTTTACATCATTTTACTGTTTTTTTTTAACTGCAGCGTACTGTACCACAGTAAACCTTGATATGGTTAAGTCCCTGAATTACAGTTTTATAAACCATTGAGCTATATTCCTTTACAATTTCATCAGGAATACAAATTGTACTGCCTTCTCCATATATCTTGTCTAATTCCAATCTGTTTCTCTTTATAAAAAAGCACTCATTAATGTAAACAAAGATGTACAGAGATTTCTAAATTGAAAATGACACCTTGATGAATATTACTTGAAACACTGGCTGTGTGATTCATTTTCGTTTGTTATGGATAGAATTATATTTTTATTCTTTGTCCTTTTTCATTTAGGGGGCTATCAAATCAAGGCATTTCACAGCAGCTTGTGGAAGCTCACAGTTTGAAGAACTGTCCACAAATGCACCTCAGCCGTGCTTAATTAAACCATCGGCAGATCCTCAGGCTGTAGACATAAAGAGCAAAAATCGCTTTTGAACTATTTGTTTTCCAGTTGGTTTTCATTTCTTCCTTAGTGATTTTAACTTTATGTCACAGTGTATCAATACCACAATGAAAAGAGAAAAGCCCCCTTTAAATATTTTAAATCACTGTACATTTTCAGTTTCAGTCTTGTTAGACAAAGTACTACATGGATGTGCCTTTTATTTACTCAATGAAAATAAGTTATTGTAAACAGCAGAAGCTATTTAGCTTCCCTTTTAAGTCCCAATGAAAAACATTTTATACATGTAAATTTGCATTTGAGATAAAATGATTTACTTTGTCTAGACGGCAAGTTCTTACATCAAACATTGTGATACTCCAAAGGCTTCCAAAGCCTCCTACACAAGGAGAAAAAATATAAGGAAATATGTGGCAAAAAAAAAAAATCTCATTACTGGTTTGCTTTGTTATTTTAATGACACTGGAAAAAAATCAATGAATTTGGTAAATGTACATCAATTTACAGGATCAGGAAAATAATGTTACCCAAATACTGCATCATACTGTAGCACTTGACAGCCACTTCATCTAATAAAATGATACATGTGAGACGCAATTATAATAATAATTGCATACACTTATATTACTCTTTTCTGGACACTCCTAATGGGGACTCCCCTCCACCACCACCACCAATGTGCAGCCCCAGTGCTATCAGTGGGGAGGAGAGCAGAGTAATGAAACCAATTCATAGAGGGGGATGATTAGGAGGCCATGATTGGTAAAGGCCAATGGGAAATCACAGTTTAGACTGGCAAATATTTTCCTCATTTGGAACACCAAATGGCTTTTCTTTTCCTGCCATTCCAGTTTTAAATTGCCAGTCGTCAATGGTCTTTTCCCACCACTGCCGCCTTTGTGTCAGAATGGGGATGGATGTAAATCTGAATGTGGCTGAACACACCCACTCCCTTCTAATTGGAAAGGTGCATTCGTTAGAGAGTGCCTGTCTCTAGCCCTACATTTCCCACAGAAGATTTAACATTGAATGGAGGAACGCCTTTCTCAGACAGTGATGTAGGCACACAGGGATCACTGCCACACCCAGGCTACCCAAAGCCTGTTGTGCACTACACCTAAGGGATTCCCATTAATCGTCAACTAACAACGTCACACAGCCTTGAATCAGTGGGCTGAACCAGCTTTTCCATCAAACCATCAGACACTGATGTCTGTTTTAGACTAAGGACACACTTTCAAAGTCACGCTTTCAAAGTAAAGAAACAGCTGAACCTTCTGCGTGCTTTTGTCAATCAAGAGATATCGGTTATACAAAATATCAGTTTTGGCTGTAACAGCCTCCAAAACCTTGGGGCTGTATGGATTTTAAAAGATAAGCCTACTCTGTAAATAGCTTCACAAAGGTAATTTAGGTCAGTCAATTTGTTTTGGCTTGAATGATTTCAACGATTTGTTGTGATGTGAAATACTCAAATGGGGGTGTTTTCTTTTTAATTTACTGTACATGCATTGTTCATTTAATACAGTATGTCCAGATATTTCTTTTAAACAGAACATCCAAAGAAACTTGTGTGCCCTGTGAGATGTTTGGTGCTGACACGAAAAACAATAATCTCACTGTTCTGCGCAAAGTACCAATCAATGGGGAAGTGTGATTGTCACAGCTGGTGTGTCTAGTTGCTACAGGACCCCACATTGATCAAGTCCTTGCTGTCCTTTGTGCTGGTCCACCCTGATGTGACAACACTCCTGCTTGACAACACATGCCCTCATGCTGCTGGTGATACAACAGCTTTCTTGGGAGATGAGAATGTAAGGGATACACTGTGGATGCCCTCCATGGCAGAGCTGGACATCTGTGGGATGACTTGGGATGATGTGTGGCCACCTTGGGCTCAAAGACCAGTGAACAGCCACGTGTTTGTCTAGGCTCCATGAGAGGAATGAAGCAGAATCCAATCACACATCATCTGCAACTATGAGGCACTGATGTATAGTTTATCTTGCTTCCAGTAGTTGCCACACATTTACCACTAGCCAGTGACTTTTACAGTAGATGCTCTTTCTATACTGTATTTCAATTATATCCACTAGATATTCATTTACAGAAAGTATATCCTGGGTTAAATAGTAATAAGAATACTGTACCATGTATTTAGATTTC